CTCTCTAGCCCTTGCTGCTCTGACTTCTGCCGGATGCTGGCACTGCCGGCATGAAGCTGCTAACTGTTCTGGCCAGGACATCCAAGGAGGCAGCCCCTCCACGTGCAGTGTTGGTGAGCAGACATGGGTCCCTCATGCCGCTCACCTGGACGACCAGCGCACAGCCCAGGTACTCTCACTCTCCGCTTTGCCTGCCACCCTCTCTCCTGCTCTTCTGCCCGTTTCCAGGCTTGTACAAGACGTGGCTATCATGGACAGGTCTGTGGTGTGTGAGCAGGGATATCAGGAAGCAGGAAGACCCCCAGTGGATGCAGGAAGGGCAGTGCAGGGAGAGCAAGCGAGAGAGCTGAAGCACGCTGAGGCTTTGTCTGTGCTACACATTTCATACACTTTTCACAAGTCTCCGTCCGGTGGCCACAGACACAGGCAGTGACTGACACAGGAGCCGAGTGACCCTGAGTTCTCTTTTCAGGTGCTTCTTCACCTGAAAAGAGAAAAGATTATATCCACCCGCTGGGCTGTTTTGGACAGCAAACACGTTTGTGCACGCTGAGTGCTTGTGCCTGGCTCCAAACAGTCACAGATCTGAAGGGGCAAAGCCTCATCCAGCTGTAGTGTGAACACAATCAACCTTATTTTGCTTGCACTCGTTTTATATAACCTCATTATTGCCTTTTCATCTTTCTCTACAATTTTTTATTTACTACTGCCTTTAAATGTTATGATAAACAGTAAGGATGGCAGGAATGATAATTTCTTAAAAAAAAAAAAAAAGAGTATACACTACCAAATCTAGTTCCTTGGGGCCTATGAGACGGCTAATGAGACTGGGCAGCCAGCATGACAATCTAGGCTCAACCCTGAGACCCACACAGTGGGTCCTGTGACCACGCCCACACTCCCGCACACACAGTAAATACACGTAACAAGAAACAGGGGCCAAATTAAAACTCAAAGGCATATAGGCTCCCAGGGTAAAATTAACAATTAACAAATAAGAATGGCACACAATACTCTCTTAAAAGTCATATATAAAAATGTGACTGTTTTCAGGCAAAAATAATTTAATAGGTGATAGAGAGCACAGCATTATTAAAGTCTTTCAAATAGGTGTGATTAGTTTGATGTGCATAACAGAGAGATTGACTCTCCAAAAGTCTGCGCCCTTTTGAGGGACAGATATAAGCGATTTTATTGCAAGGGTTACTGATGACCACTGAGTGCAATAGTAGGGCCACGGGAACTCGAGGCCTAAGAAAACAGCGCATGTGGAGGAGCAGTGAGGGCGGCTCGGGATGGCCCCTCTGGGAAGCTGTTCTCAGCACGTGGCCCTCCAAGGCCACCCAGCCATCTTGGCACAGCATTTGTCCAACTGTTGGAGTCATAATCGCTTTCTGGCTTTAAAACCTGACAATGCTGGCACGCTCTGACACCTGCAAGTGGCATCAATATTTTCCTAATTAAAATTTAAGAATATTAAAACTGCATATATTTAAAAAGAATAGCAACTTAATGCTAACAATTAAAAATAACATTTATGACACACTCATTAGTAAAAGTGGAAATGTTTTGCATTTTGAAACCCTCTCTAACATCTGGCTTAGTAGAAGACACCTGACTCTCTTATTTGGCTTCTGCATTGGATTTAGTTGGGACAGGAATCACACAGACACTAGAAAACTCTGCTGCCCAATCCTGAAGATGAAGAGGAGGAAACTTACGCCACAAAGTTTTCGCCACAGGATCTAGCAGGACCTTAGAGGCCCTAAGGCACCCGGGGCTCACGAGAGCCAGCATGACCCACATTCATTTTCCTCACAGCACTCATCGT